TGTGTGTGGGTGGGTGGGTGTGTGTGCACACGCGCTATGCACCTGAAATATGACTAAGGATGTTAAACCAACAAAATGAAGACAAAAAAACTTAGAACCTCGGCTCAAGAGATCAAACCTTGAGGGTGGGGAAAACATGTCTTCGTCAGTTCAAAAAATTATTTTTTTTAAAACGGAGATAACTCCGGCTCCAACAGGCCGTGAAATTGTCGCCCTTGTCGTCACCGGAGGCCGGAAATAACATCGATGTCTTGGCGGATTTGTTCAGGGTGATGGATGATTGATGGGCACATTGCTTTTGGCAACAACAGTTGTTGTTTTTGTTATTCTGGTTTGTTTATTGTCGTTATTTATTGTTGTTGTGTGAAGAATTGTGTAGGGTTTTTTTCTCGAATTTATAATGTGTACTTTTGTAAAATATAGTTTAAGCCAAGGCAGGCTGTACTTTTAACATTATGATAGTTCATGACATATAGGCCTCTAGGTTACACACATATCCTGAGCTAATCATCCGGCTGCTAGAACTCGTGGTAAAATGTGCAGCATCGTGGCAAATTAATGTGTTTGAATTTTCGTTTCTCCTCCTTGTTTAAACGAACAAACAAACACATTTTTCTACCTAGTATAAACAAACAAAGAAAGAAACAAACAAACAAAAAAACTTGTATCTATCAGTGAAATTCACAGTGAATGTACAACGGAAAATACAACATGTTAACACCGCAATGATGTGTCCATTTTCTCTATCTGTCTAAACATGCTATTGTGTTTTGTAAGTTTGCATAGTTTTATTATTCAGTCTGGACAGCTTTAAACCCAATTGTGGGCAAAATAAATATTCATCTGGAACTAAAACTAAAGGTGGTTTGTTCTGCCTGTCTATTCAGACTCTATATTTAGATTTATCCTTCTTCGTTTTTTTTTTTTAAATTTGTACTTTTTCTATACAAATAAATCAGGAAGTACTTACGGTGCTAAAACCTGAATCCAGGTCTGGGTATCTCTTGCTCTTTGATGCCACCTGCAAGGAAACACAGAAATAAATGCATATCGTTAGTGACCGATGGTACCTTAAGGCAAACTTCAACCCTATCAGTATGGCCTGAGGTCATTTTGTACCCCGGGGTTGTATTCTTTACATTATAGAATACTTCTCGTACGAAGATCTCTTCTAACTTTCAGTATATCTTAAAAAATCATGTTGACAGACTGCTATGCAAAACGTACGGATCGGATTAACGAGTAAATTTCCTCTTTGGAAAGTGGTGGCATAGAGTTCCCTATGTCGTATGGATACGATAGTAAAACACGGCGTACGGATAGGGTTAAAAATCGTAAGTTATTTCTTACCACATGGGATACTTGATGTATCACTGATTTTGACTATTTGAAACAAGACACATTTAAAGACGAGCCCTTGACCAAACCTCTATTGCTGAACTGACAAAACTGTTCATTGTTGAATGTGTACGTCCCCACCTACACAATTTTGATCTTTTGATTAAAAGTCAATCTGCTTCTGTCCTGTTTGTCCAGGCCAACACGGTCACAAGGGGATACAACGTCCCAGCAGTCTAAGGCAATACTTCCCAAAGCTCCACACACACACTCACACACAACACACACACACACACACACA